TAAAATACATACATATACTATATATATAAAATACATATATATACTATATATATATATATATATAGTATATATATATGTTGGATTTCTCTTCCAAGTCATTTTACAATATTGTAAAGCGAAAGGGTTTGTAATCAGATTATTGAGTCACTAAGATAGTAACAATAGTTTGAAAGTTAGTTAAATGTTCTGAACCCTCAGTTTCTTAATCTTTAAAATGGGATTTTGCTGGTGGATTAAACCTCTTAAGTATTGGAGGGCACACAATCACTCAATGAATGTTGGAGTCATGGTTTCCATGTCCTCATCATTCTGTTCCAACTCCTCAAGAGGCATTTGCTGATTTGATTTGAATAATCAGGTAAACTACCGTTATGTGTTTAGGAATCTGGTAGAGGAGGAGAGAGGAAGTGCTTTTGGAAAATTCCACGGATCGTGGTAGAAAATTAAGTGGGCACCAGGGCCAATAAACCAGTCCAAGTGCTCACATGGGAGAAGGAAGCAAAGGTTGGTGGGAAATAGACAAGCCCTGGATCCCTAAGAGCTAAGGATTGATCAGCTAGACAAAAAAAAAAAAAAAAAAAAAAAGAAAAAGAAAAAGTAATTGACCACACAAGTTTTCAGGACGCATCTATCTTGAAGGAAGCCATCCAAAACTGTTAGTCGACGATCAGCAGTGACCATCTTCCTGTGTAAGACACATATCACCTCTGTCAACATACAGGCTCAAGGTGTCTCTGCCTAACTGAGGAGACTAAAAACTAGTATAGACTTGGTTAGCAGGACAACTCCCGGAGGGCGGTGATGACCAGCCTCTCCCAAATTCCCATCAAAGAAATGGGAACAGCCTGTCTTAGAGCTGGCAACTAAGGAAGACTGACTGCCATGTGCCAGGAACACGGAGGAATTTCTGTTGTCTACAGCTCAGACCGGAGCAGATTAAAGGAGGGGATGATTCCATCTGGGGCTGACTCTGTAATGCAGACCTTGGGCAAAGTCCCGGCCCCAGAGAACAGAGCCCGGAAAACTTCAAAGCCCGACCCACCATATCTGTGAATTCCTGGGGCTTGTGTTCTCACGATCCCTTCTGCCTCTGGCTCCTCCGGCCCTCACCCCACCCCTGCTTGGCCCCATATCAGCCTGGCCGGGAAACTCCAACCCTTCAACACTTTGCACAGAGAATTCACTCAGACCCGGCACATCATGAGTGTAGTTGTCTTAAGTCAGTTGTTCCCCACTGGGGACATTTGTCAGCGTCTGGAGACATTTTTGGTTGTCACAAATGGGGAAGGGGTGCTGATGGCATCTAGGTGGGTAGAAGCCGGAGATGCTGCTGTGCACAGGACAGCCCGCCATGACAAAGAATTATCTGGCCCATATGTCAATAGCATTGATACTGAGAAAATGCCTTCATTGAAAGATACGAAGGTCATGAGACTGTTAACATTGTGCCGTACATGGGTTTCTGCGATTTCTATGTCTTCCCTTTTTCCTTTTACTTTCTCTGCCTTTCTCTTCCACCTGCCCCCCTCCGCCCCCACCGCCCCCACCTCTGTTCTTCTCAGGAGCAAAACACATCCTTCTCCCTGCCTCATGGTCCTCAGTTAAGCCATCACCTTTAGGGATAAGAATATGCCCTTGGAGTTTCATCCACTCTGCCAAGCAGCTCATCAAATTATTTCTCCTAACTACAGTGCTCTCCCTAAGAGGAGTCCCGGTCAGTATGACGTCTCCCACTCCACATCTTATTACACACATACGTGAAGGAACCACTCGTCAGGGAAATGGAACGGGCTTAGATCCCTCACGAGGGTTTGGGGAACAGCAATTGCCCGCACTAGCCCTCGGAGTGGACATCGGTGCACCGTAGAGTCCCAGAACCCAGGGCTGCCTGCTCTGAGGACAGCGGCATCAGGCAAAGCATGTGCGTTGCTGTAAACGCGAACAGGGTCTCTGGCATGAAGGTGCAGCCTTTCTCCCCAGCCCCACCGAGCTCTCTGCGGAAGCTGCTGACCTAGCAAGAGGAACGGGAGTGAATCCCAAGCGGAAGAGATCAAACAGGTGGCCGCAGTGATTCTGAAGGACTGCACCCCACTCCCTCTAGCTCGTCTATCTCTTTCTGGAAGGCTCGATTCAGACAGAACATGGGACGCGGAGGACTCCAACTTCTAAAGAAGGGAACCTACCCGAGGGATCAAGCAAATACGCAAAATAAACAATGGAATAAACTCAGCAAAAAAAAAAAAAAGTTTGGGGTGCCTGGGTGGCTCAGTCGGTTGAGCGTCCGACTTCGGTTCAGGTCGTGATCTCGCGGTTTGTGGGTTCGAGCCCCACGTTGGGCTCTGTGCTGAACACTTGCTCAGAGCCTGGAGGCTGCTTCAGAGTCTGTGTCTCCTTGTCTCTCTACCCCTCCCCCGCTCGTGCTCTGTCTGTCTCTCTTTCAAAAATAAATAAATGTAAAAAAAAAAAAAAAAAACACTTAAAAAAAAAAAGGTTTAATTTGAGTTCTAATAAGGCCCAAGAAGACACTGCTGGGAAAGCAGTCAGGACAATCTTAGGAGGAGGGACCTGAGAGCAGGAGAGGAGACCCAGAGATGCAAATCCTGATTGCCAGATCACTCCCCTTCCCCCATGGAAGCCCTGGGTACCACAGAAGAGCAATTTAATGAAGGAGAAGGAAAACTGAGAAATTCTCCCAGAACCCAGAGGAAAAAGAAAAAAGGGATTATGGGGCCAGCTTAATAACAAACAATAAACAGTATCTAAAAGGGGACTAGAAGGGCCGTGGAACAGAAGTAGGAAGAGGTGGGGAAAGACATAGTTAAAAAAAAAAGATGCTGAGGAGAATGAGGATCTTCCTAGAAAGAGTGATTTCAGACCTGATGGGGAAGTACAGCGTGTCCTGAGAACAGGCGGAAATAAACCTATTAAAGCAAGATTCAGCGAAGAGTGAGGCCTGCCTGGGCCAGCAGCACCTGGCTGGCACGCCAGCATTATTCAGAGAGTGTCTGCATAGCCCACACTTTTCCCCCTAACAGTACCAGCGAAAGTTCTCTGATCTGCGGCTTTAAGAAGACAATAAAAAAGATCTGATAAGAATGACTAGAAACCACTGCGATTCATTGAGGATTGCAGTTTATCGCCAAGTAACGGAAGAAAAATATATACTGTGCATGTGCATTTTATGTATATACGGATCTGCACTTCTGATTTAGATGATTATTAATTTCCTGAGCACAGGAATCGGTGAAAACCTTCCGTTTGCTGTGGCTGAGAAAAAAAGTACCGGTTTTGCTCTAGTCCGGGTCCTTTTCTGCCGGTGTCCAGGCTCTCTGGCTATACCAGGTGCCAATGCTGGTCTGAGCGGCCACGCTCGTGGTTTCTGGTTTCCGCCAATGTGCTTGTTCACAATTTTTTTTTTCCTTTTTAACATCTCAGGGAATTATTTCTTTTTTTTTTTCAAAAATTTTTTAATGTTTATTTATTTTTGAGACAGAGAGAGACAGAGCATGAACGGGGGAGGGGCAGAGAGAGAGGGAGACACAGAACCGGAAACAGGCTCCAGGCTCCGAGCCATCAGCCCAGAGCCCGACGCGGGGCTGGAACTCACGGACCGAGAGATCGTGACCTGAGTTGAAGTCGGACGCTCAACCGACTGAGCCACCCAGAACCCCCCTCAGGGAATTATTTCATTCAAGCTTTCACATGCATGTTGTCATTTAGGACCTTTGCCCTCCCGGAGTCTCATTTTGCATCATATTATATTTTGGTGAGTTATCGCCAGTTCTGTGTTGAGATACAGCATTTTTTTTTTTTTTTTTTTTTTTTTTTTTTTTTTTTAGAATTGAGACAAAATTGACATAGAACGTTATGCTAGTTTTAGGTGGACAACATCATGATTCAGTATTTGTATATGTTATGAAACGATCGTCACAATAAGTCTGGCTAACATCTGTCATCTTGCATAGTTACAAAACATTTTTTTTTTCTTGTGATGAAAACTTTCAAGATCTATTTTCTCTGCAACTTCCAAATATGGGTGAAATAGATGAAGGACAAACTTCTGGTTATAAAATAAGTCACAGTTTTGTTTTCTTTTTTTCAGTACAGTCTTCTCACCAAGGCCGGTGACCTGTCGGTCTGTCTGTCCCTGCTGTCTCCGGCCGGTGCATAAACTCCTGGGGCTCTGTTCCATGCCTGCTTGCCCTGAGGTGCAACGTCTAGCTCTCTACACCATGCATACACAACGCCAGTGGAAGGAATCAACTTTGCAGCATTTGGTGGGGGAAATAAATCCCTAATTGGAATCTGACATGAAGATGTTTCTCTCGGTGGCAGAGGCCTAGGTTCCGTAATATCCCCGTGTAATACCTTAAAACACCCTCTGGAGTGCTGTGGCTCAGGGTTTCCCATGAGGAACTCATGCCTGCTCTCATGTGGATGCAGAAATGCCCAAAGCCGGTCGCCAGCCCCCCAAGAATAAGCTCCAGGCTGATGGAGGTGACTCCATGCCCGGGAGCTCTGAATTTAACAAATGTGGACTTGGCAGTCAGTCATGAGAGGTAAACCAGGAGTCTCAGAACATCTGCTGGAAAACCCATTCGATCCCTGCCCACTTTTGCAGACCCAGAGAATTCCTATAGCTTTGAGGTCTCAAGTGGGAAATGAGAAGCAGCTGGGAGCTCAGATAACACTGGAATGTCTTCAGAAGAAAAATCTAGAAGAGTCGATTTTGTAGAAAGGTTGAGGAACTCCTACTTTAATTTTTATTCTTATATATCATTTAGATTTTTTTTTATCGGCTACGTATTTAATTTTTCTATATTGTTAAGCTAGTTAAGACAAGACAAAAAGAAAGACCTTTGAGTACTAGATCCTGATGTGGATGGCACAGGAGTCAGACTGTGAGGACAGAGGGAGCGTGAGGTGGAGAAAGAGTCCTGGCCTGGTGCTTTGAGAAGCCCGAGTAAGTCTTGTGCTGTGGTTTCGATTTTAACTCATGCTGCCTATCCCCTTACAAGACCATGTGTGGTAGATTATCCCAGTGATTGCCCTTAGTGAATTTCACGTCCATGCCCTTGATAGTCTCTTCTCACAGGGACTCCGGGTTTGGCCACATGACTTGCCTTGGCCAATGGGATGTCAGCAAATATGGCGTGCCCTTTCAGGATGTTGCCTCCATGTGAAGAAACCCACACTTGCCTGTTTGTGACCCAGCCGACAGTCAACACCAACCTCCGGACGTGAACATAAGGCCATAGTAGGTTGCCCAGCCCCAGCCGAACTGCCTGATAGATGATGTTTGCAGCGCGAGTGACTCCAGGTAGGACAAAGAGAAGAACCACTATCTAAGCCCGGCCCGAATTGCTGACTCACATGATCCTAAGAAAGGTGATTTAGGTAAAAATGGATGATGTTGAGGAGTTCTGTTCTCCCTCTAATGGCACTCTTCTCTTCCCCCGGAGAGGAAAGGAGGAAACTCATGTGTAATGTATCAGCCTCTGAATTTTGTGGGGAAAAAAAGAGCTTTGTAATTTCAAAGTATAGTCTTGAACCACGCTCAACAGGCATTTTGTCTTTTGGCCCTGTGTTTGCGTATTATAGCCAGCTGTTTAAGTAATTTGTTAATGTTTACATTTATAATGATTAATGAGCATGATTTTAAAATGAAACGCTGTCCATTAGAGCCTTTTTTCTCAAAATAATTTATTCAGTGAATCATATTTGTCTTATCTCTTGTCCATGGAGAGACCAACCTGGCGGCGATCCAGTTGTCAGGTTTCTCAAAAATGGATGCCCTATTTGCCCCCAAGACCTGCAGTTCATGCACAGATCTGTCTTAACCTCTAAGGAAGGTCTTAACCTTTTCTTCTCTCCCGCAGCCTTGCTCACAGGAGAAGAAATAGCAGTCATCTGAGGTAGTTTGTCATGCGGGTGCTTCTTCTAAAAACCTTTCAATAGCTGCTACTACATCAAGGAGAAACCCCCAAGGGCGCCTGGGTGGCTCTGTCGGTTAATTGTCTGACTTCTGCTCAGGTCATGATCTCATGGTTCATGGGTTCGAGGCCCATGTTGGGCTCTGTGCTGACAGCTCAGAGCCTGGAGCCTGCTTCGGACTCTGTCTCTCTCTCTCTCTCTCTCTCTCTCTCTCTCTCTCTCTCAAAAATAAATAAGCATTAAAAATTTTGGTGGAGAATGGTGGGAAGGAGATTTTTGCCTCAGCGTAAGGAAAGGCTCTCTGGCAAATAGAGTTGCCTAACTTGGAATGGCCAGCTGGGGTCAGGTATTAATTATCCTCTTTCTCAGCAGTGGGCTAGGAGAACTGGTCAGCAACGTGGGATGGGACAATCATGTACAGGTATGGGGTCAAACTGGATGGCTTCCAGATGCTTTCCACCTCGAATTTCCAATGACTCTCTCATGGTAATTAAGAGGAAAAGACCCAAGAAACACTTAACGAACAAAACAACATATGATGAGAAGGATAGCCAACGAGTACCAAAGGAGCTGTGTGAGCAGCAAAATCTCAGTCCCGAGATTGGGTTCACAGGAAAGTGGGTGGAATGAGTACAGGGAGGTGGGGGGATGGGAACTTTTGGCAGAAGGCCCAGCAGAAGGAAAGGGGAAGGTCTGTGCACAGCAGGGAGGAACTTGGGCCAGGAAATGATGTCTTACAGTAATGTGGGATCAGGTTGTGCTTTGAAAGTTGCTCAGAGGAATTAAGGAATTGAGAGGAATTAAGGCAATCAAGGCAAACAAGCAAATAAACACACAAAATAACCGTGGCCTGGATTTCAAGTTCTAGTTCTCATTTCTGTCAATTACTAGCTGAGCGACCGTGAGGAGATCACGTTTTCTGGACGTTCACTTCACAAGTTGCGACGAAGTAGACCGGTTTGAATGGTCAAGCTTCCTTCTGCTCTGCAAGGCGACGACTTTTTAAGATAAATTGTTGGCTGCCATTATAGATTCATGAGTGAAAGAGGCATATGAGAGGAGTATTTGGGGACGATTCATTCAATACACAGGGTAGACTGCGGTCGTAAGAGACCGGTTAGGAAGAACAGCAGAGAGGCCATTCCAGTAACTGGTTCTCAAAATAATATCATTCAACTTGGAGTTTGGTGCCAAGGCGTCAGGAAGCACGGAGTTTGGTCCCCCTCTATGACAACTCTGTTTATAGGTCACATTAATTTCCTGTCTTCTTGTGTGATTAAAAAAATGCAATGCTGATGTGATCACTCTAAACGCTGCCTCTGTGACATACGTTCTGATTTTTGCATTCTGTCATGAGAGGGGTTCCAGCGATGGCTCACCTAGCAGTGTTTTTCTGCTGCCATGTCCCGCAAAGTATCCAGCACCATCCACACAAGTATTGAGACAGAGGAGTTTTCGCACGTCGTTTTTTCTCAGCTGTCAAATGGCAGATGGCCCAGCCCAAACCTGGCTGGCCACAAAGTTCAGAATACTGATCTCTTACTCCTGTCCTTTCTCAGCAGGCACTTTGTTTAGCAATGAAGTTTTATCCTGACTTGTAAAAGAGTTCTTACAATGACAGTTTGCTCTGGTTCTTAAAATAAAGTGTTTCCACAGACAGCTCTATGCCTGGGGCCGCTCATGGGAGGTGGTGACTTCTCTCCAGGTCACTGCTTTGCAGTTGGCCAGACTGAGAGGGAAGGAAAGTCATGGCCACCTTAGGGTGCCCGTGGCTGGCAGAGGCCGTGGGTGAGAGGGAAGGGGAGGAGAGGAATTTTTGATCGCTGTAACTGGCTGCTTCAGTGAGTTAGAAACACTAATTAGAGAACCGTTAGGTTGTAGGTCAGTGGCTGGAATGTCTTCAGAGCGAGGCATGACCGAGATGTTATATGACAGATACTGCCCGGTGACTCGTCAGGGAGGCGTGAGAAGCTCCAGTCTACACACTCGGCTTGTGGTGGTAGGATGAGAGTTCACAAACAGAGTAAATGCAAGGTGACCAGAATAAACCAAGGTAGGGAGAGCCTGGGTGGGCCTCTGGGAACACCTCTTCAGCAATTCACTCTGAATGGGTGCCAGCCACCCCAGAACCCCACAACTGCCTTTCTTCCTGTTCTGCCTGGATTCCTTCCCTCCAGTACTGGAACAGAAAACAGACTTGGGACAAGGAGGACTTGGGGAAACAGGATCAAATCTGGGTGAGGTTGGCGGATGGGGAGTCATTCCGATTTCTTCTCTCTTACGTCATCAAGCCCAGACGGAGAGGGTGAAATCAACGTGAGTTGTGGGCTCACGCCCCCTTGATCACTTCAGCCACAATGTCCCCTCTTTTCTGTTTGCCTCGGATTGCTGAAGCATGGTCCGTGGACCAGTGCTGGTCCGTGGGGTGTTTTTAATTTTCTTTCTTTATTTTAATACCTCTGATGAGATAACCACAGAAATTAGGATAAAACATGCAAAAACTTGCATAACAATTCAGCATTGTTTTGACATCCAAGCACGTTTTGACTGTGTTTTACCAATGCATTGGTCTCCAATGGATCAGAAACTCAAAAACTGGTCCTTTGCCACAGGTGGTTTGGGAAGCACCACTTGTGTTCCATCACTTCATCAATGAAATGTTTACTTAGGGTCTACTGCACTCAAGTGTCAGCTCTAGGGACACAAATGTCTCAGGAGTTGACCGTCAGGGCTTTGTACGGCTAGCTAATGATACGAGGGTGGTCGTCTGGTCTTCCCTTGTGTCAAGGCAAATTCCAGAGAGAAAGAGGCCATATCTCAGTCTGCCTTGGTGTCCAACTAGGTTTCTGGCACAGTGTCGAGAACAGAGCAGACACACAATAAGTACTTGTTGAGGGGCGCCTGGGTGGCGCAGTCGGTTAAGTGTCCGACTTCAGCCAGGTCACGATCTCGCGGTCCGTGAGTTCGAGCCCCGCGTTGGGCTCTGGGCTGATGGCTCAGAGCCTGGAGCCTGTTTCCGATTCTGTGTCTCCCTCTCTCTGCCCCTCCCCCGTTCATGCTCTGTCTCTCTCTGTCCCGAAAAAAATAAACGTTGAAAAAAAAAAAGTACTTGTTGAATAAAGTTACTACTTTGCAATCGTGGTAAGAAAAATGAGATGAGAAGGTGACAGCTGTATGTGACTATAGCAGGTAGCTGGCCTCTTGCCTTTCTGTCTCCCTGCTCTTTTTATACCCATTCTGAAGATAAACTTCCATGGCCACAAACATGGACTGGAAATGGCTCTACCTCTGAACTTGAATAAATATCCAGGGGCATCTGGATGGCTCAGTGGCTTAAGTATCTGACTCCTGGTTTTGGCTCAGGTCATGATCTCA